AAAACATATATTCGAATACGTTATTTAATTCTTGTATTCTGTGTAACGTCACTTTCTCCTTGTAATAATCACGCAAATTTTTAAAAAATTGGATTATTTCTAAACCGTTGAGAGAGTTATGCTCGGTTTTATGCACATACTCAAAAGAAATAATAAAACAACCTACGAAATATTTGAACTTTTGCCAATATTTTAATCTTTTGGACAAACAAAAGGAAATGAATTTGAATGATAACACGAATTATTACTTAATTATCGAATTCTAACGATAGATTTCTTTTTCTCTTTTTGGATAAATAATTACAATAATATATTTAAGAGGCCGTCAAATATCACGCGCCTTTAATGTGAAACGCCGTTCGACTATTGTGCCAAATCAGTCGAACAATCAATATTATCGAAACAGACGAATGCAATATTAATCAGGATTTATTTGCGTCATACAAAAATATTATGCAAGTATAAAAGAATATATCACATTTGATATACGAATATTTTTGTACTTTATTTCGCTAAAAGAGAACGTACAGTTAATTCATATAATACAAAACATCTCAACTATATTGCAGTAATATTTTAATGTTCATGTAATATCATGCCGCCTGCAAATTTTGTTTAACGTTCGTGTTTTGTTACTAAAGTAAAAAAATTCAGCAGAGCTTGAAATAAAATTTATTAGATCCCAAGTAATTTAAATATAAAAATCTAAAAATTTAAATCGTAAAAACATAAAATTGAAAAAAAATCTATAAATTATAAATTTTATTCTAAGGTCTAAATTATATAAATGAAACTATTCATATTATTTTAATATTTTTTTATCCTCCCAATAATAAGGATATAATTGTAAAACAGTCGTAGAAATAATTTTATATGTTAATCAAAATTTATATTTAGGTAGGTCTTGTAAGGTCAGTGTCACATTTCTCTACATATTGTTTATATATTTAAAAATTTTATAATTTTTTAAATTTTCAAGTCAAGATTTTCCCTTAACACTCTCTCAAGCTGACTTTGCTTTCTTGCTCTTTAATATAATAAATATAAGCTTCATTTTCAAATCTAACAATATAGAGAACGATCTAGTCTCTTTTTTCTTTAATCTTCAATACGCGATTATAATTGTGTCAAAGCGAATGACTGAATCCCAATCTTGATGTATAAACGTGCGTTAATATTTCAGACTACGTTTCAGTTAACTCTTGATATTTCACGTCAATATTCAACGTCAGATTTTTCCTACGACCGGCGCCGGCGACGACAGGGCCGATAGGCAAGAAACAAGTCGCGCGAACGTGCACGTTTCAAGTTCCGGTAGTCCTCGAACGGCAGGCGCGTGGCGTGTATGCGCGACACCCGACGTCCGTGTCTTCTTTCCCGTGTACGTCTCGATATTCCGTATCCGTTCGCCAAGTCCATTGCTGTATCATTGAATGTGTGAAATGTTTTCGATATCATCGTTCAACGCGCCTTCTCTTCACGTATGACGTATCTAACGGTGAGTAATTTGTGTGTCAGTCGCAACAGTGTTCCGTTACGGGACGCAAGAAGACGGAATGCTCTTAAAAATTTTTGCAATATGTTCGCAATGCATGTGTCATGTTGCTCTAAATATGACATCAATTTAATTCAAACATACATTGTGAATATATCGCAAAAATTCTTAAGAGTGTTTTCAAATGTTTTTCATAAATGTTTTAAATACTCAGTTTTTCTCGTGACATTTATTTTATTGCAAAATGTAATGATGGAAAGAAATGGGATGCATGTAAGATAATAAAGAAAATCATCATTTTGTGTGTGTGTGTGTGTGCGCGCGCGCGCGCGCGCGCGCGTGTGTGTGTGTGTGTGTGTGTGCGTGTGTGTGTGTGTGTTTTTCTAACTGACCAATCTTGCATCGAATTATTATGCATTATACAGATATCTTGTTTCTTTTTTATTTATTAATTTGTTTTTTACATCGAAGGAATCATGTAACATTTCAAAATTGCATGGAGACTTGAATAATTTGCGACGATGTTGATTCTTGATTATTTCAAAATTTTACTGTCATTTCGATCAATAACCGACCGATAGTTTAAACAAAATCAATATGATAAACTAACGCAATGATAATTTATAAGAGAAAATTAATTCCGAATTTCAACGACTCGATGTAATATAATAAAACGTGAAATAACGTGAAAGCCTTTAAATACGAGTCGAGAAGATATGATTAATCTAAGTCAATCTCTTCTTGTGTAATCTATTCTTTAATTATCTTATCTCTTTATCGCAACTTTGATGATTCTCAACATCTTACCCTTTTCAAGCGACGTTGACGTGCAAATTATGTAAACTTGGCATAAATACAGACGATAAAACACTTATTTAAAACTAGGAATGTTCATTTCCATCCATAACTATTAATTTTATCTCAGTTTAATGTACTTTATATCTTTTTTTAATTCTTAGAATCAATGAAGATTAAAAGTAAGTTAAACTGAGAAAGCTAATTTACATCTAGAAATAAATATAGGAGAAAGAATGCAACATGTTATTACTCTGCAACTTATTGAAATATATATTAAACTTGTTTCTATTACTGCGCTGGATCATACTAAAATTTTCTTCAAATACCTTCACCACATTTCGAATATATATAATTTTAAAAGTACAAATGTACATACACTAGTTCAGCTATAAAAAAATAGACGTATTATTGAACAAACGATTTTTTTTCTTATCATTTCGTTTTTGCACTGTTTTTTCTATTTGTTCACACAATGTTACTCGAGTTTGATAATTTTGCGATAATTGGTTAATTTTATGAGAGAATTTCCCTCTTTGAAAAATTAATTTTTAACGTAAATTATCGCTCTATTTTTTGTCGGTTCTCCGGACGAATGCTTCTCGTTTTTTTTCCCCATAAAAAAGGAAAACATAGAAATAAATTTTCCGGAATCCTGTGTGTGAAGACAACAAACTGATAAATAATCGCATAGAATTGTGACTATTGCTCCATATCCCGTCGCATAAAGAAAGGAAAGAATAATCATACTGCGCACTGTTTCTGATTGCTACTTTTCTGTTAAAACCATTTTCCTTCGAGAAAACGTCGTAAAAAATAATATATTTTCTTGTTTTTGTTTTTATTAATTATAAAAAAAATTAAATACAACTTATTTAAAAATAATAAAAAAGAGTAAGTAGAAAAAGAGTAAGAGTAAAGTAAGGCTCTACTGAAAATTAATAATTATAAATATAAATTAATATCCGACTCTTTTATTCCCTTCTCTCGTTCTTCATTCGCAATTCCAGCATTGAGTAATGTTGCGTGTCAAGACCAAACGATAATCGATGCGCAATTAAAAGAGAAGTAAAATATAGATATATAAAGATTCACAAAATATATAAAATATGAGATATTCTGTCAAATGATTAACAAATCCTTCCTATCTATTGACTGTGTTGCGTTTCGATATTCACTGCCAGTACTGAAAATATATAGTTCAGGTCACGTATATTATAGATTTCCAGTACTGGCAATGAATATCGAAACGCAACGCATTGTATACATGTAAACACAATCGTTACTCACATGTAAAATTTTTTTTTACCAATTAATAATTAATTTAAAATTTAAATTAATTATATATTAATATATTAATTGTATAACTTGACATATATTTACAATAATTTTTTAATTATTTATTTATTTTAGATTATCTTTTTCTAGTTTTCAGATCAAGTAATAAACATATAATTTATACATATGTTTTTCCTGTATCGATTATAGACTTATTATATTAAAAATTGTTATGTACAGGATGGAAACAAAAACTACAGAATTATTTATATATATATATATTAATATT